GGAGGAGGAGGAGGAGGAGGAGGAGGAGGAGGAAGCGGAGGTGAAATCAAACCTAACACACCTTCCAGAGCAGAAAGTTGATTCTGGAGGTCAGAAATTTGCCATTTTTGCGTTAGTTCCCCTCTCAACCGAGCGCACACTTGCTGAAAGAACCCGGAGTAGCGATCTGAAACTCTCTGGTGCTCGGCAGCACAACGTCCCGAGAGCAGAACAAAGTGGGCCATTTTTGTAGCATGACGGAGTATGTCCTGCAAAAGAAAATATTAGAAAGTGCAAGTAACATCAGTCATCCAGTTTCTTCCCAACTTGAAGACAGAAAAAGGGGGCAAGGGGTTCAAAGTAAGGACAAACTGATATAAATGTTTCACGCGCAGCAAGTTAGCGTATGACTACCTCTGAGATTCAAGTGGTGACAGGTGGAGTTTTATAGGTGAGGTCGTTTAAATATAATTATGTGGTGACCCTGGAAATCATTTTCATGTTATATGCTTGTTTAGAAGTATTATGTAACTTTAAATTCAACCCGCGAAGTATGCGAAGTAACCAATGGGAAGCCACGTGATCTCATAAAGAAAGTTTTGCTTGCCCAGTTTCCGAAAGGGGCCAGGTAACTGATTTGATAACTGAAGGGCAACTGAGCTTTCGGTAATACTGCTAATGTTCAGCTCGTGGAGCATTTGTTCCTTTAAACATAGTTTCACGTCCGAACTAAGCAGTGTGCCACATACTGATTTATCCTGACGGTGAAATTTAACGAATTATACCAGTTTATTTTCGAACTCCAGTGCAGTTTCATTGTACCGAGAGGTTTTACTCTAGAGTTTGCTGTGGTCTTATGGCGCAGGCGACGTTGTGCAGATCTCTGACCTTCGGGTCTCAGTGAACGCGGACAGTACTTCCACAATGAGCAAAGCTTTAAAATCGTAGTGGAGACGTCTGCTGTGACCAAATGCCTCCTGAAACATACGGTGTCTCCTAGTAAAAGCAACTCAGAGACGATTGTTTTGCTCATCAGAGCGTCAAAATAATCACAGTCAGACAGAGGCTTGTAGCAGTGGTATGGTCTTTCCGTCGGCTAGCGAAATGGTCCCTCACAGCTTATGTATCTTTAACAATACGTAATACGCGTGGTAGCTGGGTGTTCAAAAGACTGTAGTCAGAACCACAACTGTTGATGGCTTCGCCTACCCATGTCTGTAGCGCCCTAAGCGCGTATACACCGTCGGCTTCTGCCGATGACACCGTGCAGGACGTCACGTGATCACAGTTCTCGAGCTACCGGACGGCACGCATAAAGACTCTGGGACAGCCAATTACAGGCCCAAATTTCTTCTGACTCTTATTTACTCAAATTCCGTCACCCTAGTGGACAAACGCGTGCGCAGGCCCCGAGTTTGCCGCGCGTCAGGGTTTCTGATCACCACCAACTTTCTGTACTGAATACACTAATTATACTGGTGTTTCCTCCAACACGAAACTAGGCCTGATAATTATGGTGCTCTGAATACAAACACTAACTTCGACTTTACATGTCTACTGTTCCCACTGTCCCGCCCATCACTTCATGATCCCCTTTGTGGTTTCTAGACCGGACGTGCAAAAAAATTGAAAGTACACATTCCGCTGCTTGGATTAAGACGAAGAACTAACGGCTACGTTCACGTGAGTGGGCCCTCTTATTCACATGCCTGCGATTGGTAACACAGCCGATGCCAAACTAGTAAGATAAAACATGCTTTCTACTACAAAATAAGTAGGCAGTTATGCAAAACAAACAAGGGCCTATCGTATATTACTACCCTGATAACTCTTGAGCCTCTGGTAAAACGATTTGAAATTTACGCCAATGCACAATTATCAAAGAGTCAGGCTATGACCATTAAACCGGCGTTACTGACAAGGTTCACCATGTGATCCGCAGTATGTCAAGTACCAGGACTATGACCTGCGCGCGATTTAGTTTATGGGGATGGTAGACTTGCACTGCATCTACCGCACTCTCTCCTGCCTCACCCGCCCTAGCTCACCTGGCTATACTGACTCGCTGGCGACGGTAAATATTCCAGAAACAATAAGTAAAAACGGCAGAGGAAAAAGAGTAGAGAGAGAAGGAATAAAGGGTAGGATGTGGGCAGGCTGAAGCAGCAAAGAACCGAAAAAGTCTGTCAACTAACAATAAATAAATAAAGAAGACTCGTAACCAAGGCTAGAAAGGGACAAAGGAGGGCACAGGAAGCTGAGGAAAAAACAAGCAAAGTTAATGCTAAACAAGAGGGATAAAACACCCTGGGAGTCCACTTACCTCAATCGTCTCAACTGGTGATGTAGGGGAGTCGTGGACTACCCCTGAGGGTAACTTTGTCAAGCTTACTTCGGCAAACTGCAGTGCTCGATCCAGATGGGAGGCTAGCACCTCGAACTCTTCTTCAACATCGAAGGACGCTGAATTCAGTAAGTCCCTGGCAGCCTGTCAAAGAGAGTGCATACAATGTGTGGTGGTTTTTTAATTTCATAGAGAAGTAAGTTTAGCGGAGGCTGTGTACTAGTGATAACAGAAATGATCCATCAATGGAATTATCACCAGCAATCAGTCATGGAAACGCTTTGATAATTACATGCAAGCCTTGTTTTCCCTCGACAATCTGAACTCAAACCGGTATCACATCAACTCCAGGAAGGATTTATTTGTAAAATAACAATAGTCCACTCTTTAAGAGTGTGTGTACACATGTATAGGACGCACCGGCATGTAAACAATAGGGTTTCCAAAGGCTTTGCCTATTACCCTCACCAAATAAGCTGAAATACTCGGGTGCATCGCGGGAGTTCGCTGAATTCGTAAATGGCGACTAACCTGACGAAGAAGGGAACACAAGTCCTCATCAAGGACGACCAGATCATCTAAGAGTTTATCGTGCTGTGCGGAGATTGGCAGTAAGTAACGAACTCCGGCCCGAACTGCCTCCAGCTCCGGTCCCCGGACGAACTGCGTTACCAGCGAGGCCAGCTAAATGGTCGAAATAGCAAGAGGTGCAACAGTGAAAAAAGTAGTGATCGCTTAGGCGATTACGTTGGAGGCGGCTGATATGCTGGAGAGAAACAGAGTGTGTGTGGGAGAGAAATAAGGAGGGAAAGGAAAGTTTTCTGGAAACTGAGAAGAAGCGTTTTGAGCTACAGTTCAGGCTCTTGCAACGATCTGCAAAAAGCTTCCCATAAAGCCACAAAGATCGACAGAGGTAGGTAGATAAGAAATCCCCTCGGGATGAGTTGTGCAGTCAGTCAGCCATAAACCAATCATATGGAAAGAAGAACCTCGATGTGAACCGGAATCTATGGGGACTACATTGTGTCAGTTATCATCGGTAGTGATCCAAGTCACCAGATAGGTGTCGCTCGGCGATCCAATACTGACCAGGGATTTTAATCCCAAACACAAACGATAATCGGATGCGCCGCCAACGAGTTCCGAATGCATACTCTTTTAATTGCAATCCCCGTAACACGCCAAAAAGGGATGCTTACCACTCTGTCATAATAACTGGACGGCGAGGAAACAAACTTTTTAATTAGAACGACGACTAGACGTACAGTAGGTCACATATCTGATGCACTGCGTGTCCTAATTTCCCGCCCATCAAACCCGATAAACACCGTTTTCGTGGGAAAACATGCAGGTTGTAGGGATTAATGAGTGGGGCTACATAAGCTACTGTTGCCATGTTTTCTGATTAACATCGTTAACTAAGTCCATCCAAATATTGTCAAAATATAGATGAAAATCAATAAATATCAAAACTTCA